AAGCCAAGAAAAATACCGCACTCAATGGTGACTTCAGCACGAAAACGTTTACCTTTCGGTTAAACCAGCAAACGAGTGATCAGGAGGTGAGCATAGGCAATACAAGATGTTCTGCTTCTGCCATACATGTACTACAAGGAAATCAGGTGAGTCAACCTCGGCCTGAGAGTATTTACCACCGGTTTTAACTTATACTACTGGTGCCTAACTTAAGTCTCGATTCCTTACAAATTGAATGTCTTGGCCTCAGATTCGCATGTGAAAATTTCCAGAATTTTAACGTCAGTTAAAAGGCCTGTGTGTCATAAAGAACCAGGTAATAACCCGAAGGTAAGAATCGTATTGGAATATCACGTTTAATATAGATAAGCTATATAGGCATAAGGTGGGCTGCTCAGGATTTCTAGCTACTCATCAACTAAATTGCGTTTACTGTATGTACTTTGCAGTCTGTTCCATCCCACCAGCCAACGAAAATCCAGCTAGTTTCAACTGTTCCTTCACAGATGGCAGGCATTAAGAACCCAAAGGTACAGAAATAAATCAGTTTGAAAAGATTGCCAAAAATATGCAGCTTATTTATTGTTTTTTGAGTTTTATTTGTACAGACCATCCAGCCCACCAAAATCCCCCAACCGGCGCAAGCTTTTTTTTTTAGAGAAAGCAGGAGTCAATAACCCAAAGGTAATTAAAATGCTTCAAATCAAGTTCTCGTGTGCTGGTAACTCTGTTTGTAAAAGATTATGGTGACAACAAACCAACCACCCTTTGTTCCCTCCATGGCTCTGATGTTGCTTAAATACATGCATAAATTTGTCTGCCTCCCCCCTTTTTTCCCAAATCATAGACCCTTTCCCTATAGACTTATTCGGCTAACTCAATGTTGTACCCAATTCAAGTCTCCCGGAGATAAGATTCTTTGTGTATTGTATTTACATTATAATGTGGCATTGACATTTAAATGATATGGAAATTCCTGAAACAAAACGTTTTATTCCCGAAGGGTTTAAATTGAGTACAACGTTGAGTTAGCTGAATAGGTTGATCTATTTGCAGTAGCCCTGGCTACCTCTAAATAATGATCAATCCGTTACTGCGAGCTGTTTTTGTAATTATCTTTCTTTCCTTTCTTTCTTGCGATAAAAAGAAAATGTATGCAATAAGATCAACCAATAAGAAACAATGGATTAAAATCTACCAATCATGTATCACTGTTATGTCAATCATTACAGTCACTGCGGTTCTTTTAGAAAATGAATCTCTTTAGAGTAGCTTGTTAAGTAAGGCCTTAAACCTACAGGTTCTATTTGACAGCTTCCAAAAGTGTTCCTTCTTTCATTTGGTTTTATTATTTTAATACGTTATGAGAAGTAAGAAAACCGTATGCTTATAAATTTTGTTATGGATGAACTGATAAATGGCATAAAGCAAAGCGTGGTATGCAAATAGGTCCAATTCTGGTCATAGGTTCCATAGCCTGAGGCTTCTGGAGCCATTCAGCGGCGCGTTTATCACGTAAATCCCAAGAATGAAGGTTATACTGACGGACGGATGCTACTACATGTAACTGTTCTTACAAAAGTGTTTCAATTTCCTTTTGCCTACAGAAAACTTGGAATAAATCGTTTGAAAGGGATATGTTTGGTTGAGCTGGATTTTCTCACGGTTGCCTCACTTCTGTCAAGGAAGGTTTTGTGATAAAAGTCATATACAGAACTACACAGTGCACACGAAAAAATGAAATGATGCATGGAAACTAAAACTTTTAACTTTTTGTCTAGTTGCAATGAAGACTTCATCTGGTCGTCAAAAATATTGAAAAGAAAATTTCTTAATATCTTTTATTTGTTTGACTAAAGTGTTTATTCAACTTTTTCTGTTCAGAGTTAAAAAGCGGAAAGCAACTATATCAACTCAGTTCAAAGTGGAACCCAGCGTTTACGTCCAAGACCATCTGTTTTCGATCAATGATTCCAGGGTTTTTTAAATTAATCATTTTCAGGATTGGTACTTTTGAATTCTCCCTTTGAATGCGGTCAGAGTACAAGAAGGTGCCTGCTTTAGCTTGCTTTCACCATCGGTTTTGTGCTGCTCGGAGACAAAATGTAGAAGTACAGACGCCTCCATGGCTGTATTTTTAATGGTATTTAATAGTTTTAACTATTAAAAGTTGTGTGGTTGTATGGTTAACACCTCGGCGCGATAAGGAGTAAAACAAAAGTTGTAGAGTGTTAGGGATTAAATTTTTAATTCTTACACCAATAAATAGAAAATAATTTTTGGTGTTAACTGAGCCGTTTCAGGGTCATAAACGACATTACTTGCGTAGTCGCTAAGGAAGTTTTACTCCCTCACAGAAGCGGCAAAGTCAAAGTTTTTAAAAACCTGAAGCGACCGACTTGTGGCGAAGACATCTTAGATCGTTTTTTAAAACAGAGCTCAGTCGGTGTCTGACAAAATAGCATTTTAAGAGAAAACGTTGATTAATTTCTTATAACGATTATGTAACTGCAACCAGTTCACCCTAAAGAAACCTCACGATCGTTTATTGGTTTTCAATCTAAAATTAGCTGTTAAGAATTGAGTAGTTAGTAAAATGGGTTTTGTGACGCACTTTAGTACCACCCCTCAAACGGAATTAACCGGAAAAATGACGGAAAATAGAAATAATAAAATCCCTGAATATGCAAAAGACTTCAAAAAAGAATGGCTTTACATAACAGGGATTAATAGGAAGTGTGGTGAGTTTATGAAAAAGCTTGGAGATGAAGATACTGATTCTTTTGAAAAAGTTTTTTCATCTCCAAGAGCAAAAGCACTTATTGAACATTTTAAAAATGTTTTGGAGGCCCAAAAAATGGGAAAACTTCAAAATATTAGTAAATTAAAGTTCAAATTAAGTGCTGTTTACAAAATAATTGATCTAAGAATGGACCTATATTATTTTTTAGGAACTGGGCAGTATAGTGACTTTGTTATTTCAGATGATGATTTTCAAGATTTTTTTGAGAATTTTATCATCTTTACTAAAAATGCCAACATTAAAAAGGAAGAAGATTTTGAAGATGACCTTTATTTAGAGTATTTAAATGATAGTGAAAGTGAAAGTGAAAGTGAAAGTGATATAGAATTTAGAGAATTATTCTATCGTGTATTTGAAAGTGATAGTGACGATGATTTTTAAAAATAAAAATTAATTATTTAAAGGTTTACGTCTTTTAATATAATCAGTTATTATAAGACGTCATGTCTAACCAAGCAAATGGTTCGTGGGGTAGTACACCCTTTGTTACAGATAAACAATTTCAGAATTTGTCTTTAGATGAAATAAAACATTTAATAGAAGCAGAAAAAGAAGGACTTAAGAAAGATTATAAAGAATTAAATGAAAGAAAAAGATTAATTAAACTATATAAAAAAATAACAAAAACTAGAGAAAAAGTTAAAAAAGGAGTTGATATAAAAAAAGAATATAAGAAGAAAAAAAAGATAAAAACATTTGAAGAGTATTTTGAGGAATGTATAAAAAATAAAGAGATTCCACCAGATACTCCAGATTACTTACGTAGATCTCTTGAGCGTGCTATGTATGAGTATGAACAAGGAATACAAATAGAAAAATCAGCTCTTAATAATCTTGCTGTTAAGTATGTTTTAGAAGGAATTCCTGGTATTAGGCCACAAGAATATTATTCTAGAGTTTATGCTAGTTTAATAAATTTAGTGAAGGAGCATAGAAATGTTAAATTAAATATGGTTATGATTTGTATGATGGAGAGAATTGCAGGTAAAACAGCACAAGGAATTAAAGAATTAGAAGAGTATAAAGCATATTTTCGTTCGAAAACTTTTAAAAATTATGAATCATCAAATGAACAAAAAATAGTAGAAAGATGTATGGATAAAATTTTAGAAGATGTAGATGGGTTTACCACAAATGGAAGTGGGTGGTGGTTTAAAGATGTTTTAGAGCTTCATGTTAATACTATTGAGTTTAATCCAGCCAAAGGAACATCTTACATTGATCTTCCTAGTTGGATAAAAAATAAAAAAGCAATTGTTAACATTAAAAATAAAGATGATAAATGCTTTCTTTGGTGTATTCTTAGATATCTTCATCCAAGAGATAGAGACGAGGAAAGAATAAAAGATTTAGAAAAGTATGCGTTTTCACTTAATACTAAAGGAATTACTTTTCCAATGAAAGTAAATAATATCACTCAATTTGAAAAACTTAACCCAGAACTTCCAGGAATAAATGTTTTTTCTAATGATGGTATGACTATTTATCCTTTGAGAGAGGCAAATAGAGATTGTAAAATACTATTGATTTATTTTTATACGAAGAAGATGGTGCCTCACATTATACTCTTATTAAAAATTTTCATAGGTTGATAAGATCTCAAAAAACTATAAGTCATAATGGTGAAATATTTATTTGTAAGAGATGTTTTAGTCATTTTACTAAAGAAGAATTATTAGATAAACATATCAAATATTGTTCTAACAATCAAACAGCTCTTATAAAAATGCCTGAACCAAACTCAATGCTATATTTCAAAAATTATCACAAAAAACTTCCTATTCCTTTTGTAGTTTATGCAGATTTTGAATGTTTTACTAAACCAATGAATAGTTGCAGTCCTAATCCAAAAGAATCATATAATTATAATTATCAGAAACATGAACCATCAGGATTTTGCTTTTATGTAAAGGGAATAGTTGATAAAAAAATTAAACCAATCATTTATACAAAAACCTCCGAAGATGAAGATATATCAAAAGTATTTGTGGAAAAACTTGCGGAAGTAACTAAAGGAATTTATAACGATTTTTATCGCCGTCCAAAACCTCTTAGACTAACTAGTGTAGATAAAAAATCATTTGAGAAAGCAGTTAACTGTCACATTTGTAGTCGAGAATTAAAAGAGGATAAAGTTAGAGATCATTGTCACTTTACAGGTCAGTATCGTGGAGCAGCACATAACAAATGTAATCTTATGTGTCGTAAACCAAAAATACTACCAGTTATATTTCATAATCTTCAAGGTTATGATTCTCACTTATTTATAAAACAAATTGCTAGATTAGAAGGAGATTTAAATTGTATTCCATCTACGGAAGAAAAATATATTTCTTTTTCAAAAAGTATTAAAGTTGGAGAGTATTATTGCTCAAAACTTGGAAAAATGTGCCCAATAAATTTTGAAATACGATTTTTAGATTCATTCAAGTTTCTTCAAACATCACTTGCCAATCTTGTTTCAAATTTATCAGCAGATGATTTTCATAATACAAATCATGTATTCAAGAAAAATGTAGATCTACTAACTCGTAAGGGAGTTTATCCTTATGATTATGTTTCATCACTTGATAAATTATCAGAAACATGTTTACCACCCAAAAAGGAGTTCTACTCCCAACTTTATGACGAAGATATTAGTGATGATGATTACCAACATGCGATTAAAGTCTGGAATACATTTGAATGTAAAACAATAAGAGATTATCACGATCTTTATCTGAAATCTGATGTTCTACTTCTAACAGATGTATTTGAAAACTTTAGAAAAACTTGTCTCCGCCATTACAGCCTAGATCCAGTTCACTATTTAACATCCCCAAGTCTAGCTTGGGATGCATGTCTAAAAGAAACAGGTCAGCAATTAGAGTTACTACATGATTATGATATGTTAATGATGTTTGAGCGTGGTATTCGTGGTGGTATAACACACATATCAAAAAGATATGCGGAAGCGAATAACAAATATATGAAAGATTACAATCCTGGAAAGGAGTCAACATTTATTCAATATCTCGACGCAAATAATCTTTACGGTTGGGCAATGTCTCAACAACTCCCAACACATGGATTTAAATGGATGAAAGATATAACATTAGAAAAGGTAGATGAAATACTAGAGAAAGCAAATCATAGTATGTCAAATCTTGGGAGTAAAGGTTATATATTTGAAGTTGATTTAGAGTATCCACCTCACCTATGGGAAAAACATAATGGTTATCCTCTAGCACCAGAGAAGATGATTGTTAATGGTGTTGAAAAGTTAATTAGTCATTTTAAACCCCGAAAGAATTATGTTGTGCATTATCGCACTCTTAGACAATGTCTTGAGTTGGGTATGAGAATAACGGCTGTTCATAGAGGAATTTCATTTTATCAGTCTACTTGGATGGAGCCATATATCAGAAAAAATACTGAACTTAGAAAGACAGCAGCCAACAATTTTGAGAAAGACTTTTTCAAATTAATGAATAACAGTGTCTTTGGAAAAACAATAGAAAATATAAGGAAGCGACAAAATATACATCTTATAGATAATCGTAAGAAAGCTGTCAAACTATCAAGTAAACCCAACTTTGATAGATGTACAATATTTGATCGCAATCTTATTGCTATTCATATGCTAAAGACAGAGGTTTATTTTAACAAACCAGTTTATGTTGGTCAAGCAATTCTAGATTTATCAAAAACACTAATGTTCAATTTTCATTTCACATACATTAAAAAGAAATATGGTAAAAAAGCAGAATTATTGTTTACAGATACGGATAGTCTAATGTATGAGATTAAAACAAAAGATTTTTATCTTGATATATCCCCTGATGTAAGAGGTAAGTTTGATACTTCTGATTATCCTCTCGTTCATCCTTCTGGGATAAGTACAGGAGTTAATAAAAAAGTGATTGGAATGTTTAAAGATGAAGTTGCAGGAAAACAGATAACACATTTTGTTGGATTGCGTCCCAAACTTTATAGTTTTAAAATTGAAGAGGATAGGGAAGTAAGAAAGTGTAAAGGAATAAAGAAAAATGTTGTGAAAAAGAAATTAGATTTTGATGATTATGTTAAATGTCTATTTTTAGGTGAGAAAGAAATGAGAAGTATGAAAATAATAAGAAGTGAAAAACATGATATATATTCAAAAGAAGTTAACAAAATAGCGTTAAGTAATGAAGATGATAAAAGAGAGGTACTCAAAGATAATATTCATACTTTAGCTTTTAGATAAAAAAAAAATAATTTAAAAGTAGTAAAGTATTAAATAATAAATGACTTATACAGAGGAGGAAATAAAAAAATATTTAGATATACTTCATAATTATAAAAAACCTATTCAACCAGTTAGTAAAAAAGCACAATGTTCAAATTGCCCAAATAATGAATTTTTTACAATAGATTATGGCCTCAAAATTTGTGAAAAATGTGGTGCAGACAACGGTCATGTATTAGGATTATTTGATGTAAAAGATTTGGATAGACTACATTATAGAAAAAAGAGTATTTACCATAGGAAATACCACTATGAAAAAAAGGTAAATGAAATTTCTAAAAGAATAAACCTAACTGATGAAGAAAAATGTGAACTTTACGATAATCTAACAAAAATAGATAATCATATCATGGAAATACTAAACAAGCAATACTTAAGAAAGAGAATGATAAATATTAATTATTTAACTAAAAAAATTTTGGAGGAGATGGGTTGTGAAAAGTATAAACTTATTGTATTTAAGATTAGTCCTCAAACTTTAGAGATTTATGAAAAATGGTGGGATAGTTATAAAAAGTTAAATAATTAGTTTTGAGAGGGAGACGTTGTGAAATTTTGTATAAAGATTAAAATAAATGTGTAACCAAGTTGTTGGAACATCTGAATTGTTTAATGATGGTAGTAATCTAAGTGATAAAGTAATTTATTATTATTACGAATTTCCTGATGGACAAGTATTTGAAGGTCGCATTAGGTATGGAACATTAGAATCAAGAGATGCTGACCACCGAAGGTGTAGTCTTAGTCCTGTTTACGACCATTTAAAAAGATTTCCAGATACAAAACCAAAATTATTGACTAATGATACTCATTACAAAACAGAAAATATTATTTATCTATATAAAAAATAAAAAAAAATGCGTATACAAATTAATCCTAGATCGTTGTTAAATCTAGAACATATATGTGAAGTTTTATACAAACTTCATCCATCTGTTTTAGATTACTTGGTTGAAATGGAAAGATCTTTAGGTGATATATTTGGATTTATTGACATTAACAATCCATCACTAAAAGAAAGAGAATTCTTAGCTAGTATTGTTGAGGAAGTAGATTACTTAAAAGAACCTGAGGAACCTGAGGAGTTGAAAAAAGACCAGAGTACTCATTTTCATAATCTAAGAAGATATATTCAACTAGATACTGATGAATATATTCCTATGAAATTTTATGTTGAAGTTGAAGATCCTGTAATAGGAAAAAAACTAAAAGAATTGGTTGAGGCACTTGAAAAAACTCATGCTCCAGAACAATTTTATTTAAATAAACAAGAAATAGATGAAGATGCATATTTTGCTGAAGGGTATAAACTTAAAATGAATGAGGAACAGAAAAAACAATTGGAAGAATTTATTGATGGAGAAGATGTTAAATCACTTGAAAAACTTTTAAGAGAGAAAAAGTTATATCCTTAATTTATGATTAAATATTAACACTAATATTTAATCTATATTTTCAAATTTTTTTTTATACTTCTCTACAAAGTTATCAGCATTTGATGGACATTGATCAATTATCATTTCATCTAAAATTTTAATACGATCTATAAATTCTTCCTTATTCCACTCATCACCTCTGAGTGCTGATCGTAATTCAACGAGCACTTTTTCATAAGTAGTATAAGCCAGCTTTGTTGTTTCTATCTTCTTCTTAAAATCTTTCTTTTTTGTAATTCCAGCCACAATTACTCCTGTTCCATTTATTACTCCAAGAATAATAGGATTGAGTGTTATTCCTCCTGTTATAGTGCCTACAGCAATAAGAGATAAACTAGAAATAGTAAAAAAATTATCTAAAAATTTATAAGATTTATAAGATTTTTTATAACACCNGAAATAGATGAAGATGCATATTTTGCTGAAGGGTATAAACTTAAAATGAATGAGGAACAGAAAAAACAATTGGAAGAATTTATTGATGGAGAAGATGTTAAATCACTTGAAAAACTTTTAAGAGAGAAAAAGTTATATCCTTAATTTATGATTAAATATTAACACTAATATTTAATCTATATTTTCAAATTTTTTTTTATACTTCTCTACAAAGTTATCAGCATTTGATGGACATTGATCAATTATCATTTCATCTAAAATTTTAATACGATCTATAAATTCTTCCTTATTCCACTCATCACCTCTGAGTGCTGATCGTAATTCAACGAGCACTTTTTCATAAGTAGTATAAGCCAGCTTTGTTGTTTCTATCTTCTTCTTAAAATCTTTCTTTTTTGTAATTCCAGCCACAATTACTCCTGTTCCATTTATTACTCCAAGAATAATAGGATTGAGTGTTATTCCTCCTGTTATAGTGCCTACAGCAATAAGAGATAAACTAGAAATAGTAAAAAAATTATCTAAAAATTTATAAGATTTATAAGATTTTTTATAACACCAATGTTTCTTATGGTAATATTTATAAAGGTCTTTAATAGTTTCTATTTGCTCTTTTGATAAAGATTTATCAATATGATTAAATTCAAAAATACTCTTTTTACTACTATTTCTTTTCATTTATTCTTTACGTTAAATAACTTCCACTTAACTTTTCTTGAAGCATTACTTTGTGAAATTGATCAGAGCCGATGTCGTAAAATTTTGGAGAGTACATTAATCTTAATATCACTCCATCTTCAGTTGTAAACTTCCAACGTTGATTAGCATTGTATTGAACAGTTGGTATAGTTAATGTTCCACTGTAGTTACTTATTGAAACTTTTGTGACATTTGCACTAAGATTTTCTGCCAACCATACAACAATTATTTTTCCATTAAAACTACTTAGCATGATAAAATTTTGAGTTGTTTTGTTGACAGTTAAAGTTACTTTATTGTTTGATTTATTGTAATCCAATTTTACTAAAATATTATTGTTTGTTGATAAATATTTAGTTAGGGTAAAACTCCTATTTCTCCAATGA